TCCACCTCAATCAATGGATGAACAAGGAGTCTTCGTCGTCCCGTTTTTATTTTTTGAGATTAGGTAGTACAAACCAGCAATAACCAAACCCCCCCCCCTTTTTTTTTTTTCGTCTGACGAACGATACTAAAACGAACCACGCTGAGCGTCAGCGCTGACGAACTACGCGCTGATCTATGAGCGCTGACGGTAAGCGTGAGACTAAATTCAGCCTTAACTAAGTAACAATAGGTCTTTGTGAAAAAGCATTGCTAAATTTCTTTGAAAAAATAATTATAACTCCTTTATTTGTTTAAAAGGTACTACAAATGTCATTATGGTTATTCAAAATTCTTGGCATAGCTGCTAACGTCAAGCATATTCTATTTCTTTTTACTTGTAGATTGTCTTATTCCCATCTCGCTCGCGCACGCTCGGCGCCCATACTGATAATTTTGCGCGTTTAACGGTGCGCGCGCATCGTAAAATTTCACTCTCATAAATTTTTCATAACGCGCCTAAAGAAGTATAACTTCAAAAATAAAAAATAAATAAACGAATTGTCACGAAATTTCTGTAAACTAGCTTTTATGCATAAAGCAAAAAGATTGTTTGTTTCCACCCCTTTATTCCTAAAGCGGCATATATTAGAAGTTACAGTTGTTTATATATATATATCCGATCCCTATGGATCAGTGAATCGTTTCAATAAAAGCTTCGGTGTTTCGGCCGCAGTCGAGCGCAGAGTCGTGCCGCGAGGAGGGCGTGACGGGTGCTCTGGAGGTAGAGTACGCCGACAACGTGCCGTGCATCGACCTATTGTCTTCGCTGCGCAGCGGGCTGCTGGCGGCGCTCGACGCCGAATGCGCCGCCCGGGGCTCGGCCGAGCAGTACGTAGCCCGCGTACGAGCGGCACATCCGCGCCTCGGCGACGCACGGCCGCCGCACCCGCGCCGCTTCTCCGTGCGCCACTACGCCGGCGAGGTGGTCTACGACGCCGCCGACTTTCTCGAAGCCAACCGCGACGCGGTGCCGGACGACCTGTTAGCCGTCTTCGACACTCGTGCCTGCGAGTTCGGCTTCGCCACCCACCTGTTCGGGGCCGAACTGAAGGCGCTGGCGTCGGCCGGCGGACCGGCGGGCTCCGCTTTCCGCGCGTCTCCCACGGCGGCCGGCGGTGCGTCGGGCGGCTCCACGCTGACGCAAGACTTTCACACGCGCCTCGACAATCTACTGCGCACGCTTGTGCACGCCAGGCCTCATTTCGTGCGATGTCTACGCGCCAACGCCACCGAGACGCCCGTGCTCTTCGATCGAGCCACCGTAGCCTCGCAGGTAACGCGTCGCGTAAACGAATAATACGATGGTGTCTTTACACCTTATGAGCCACAAATATTATGGAATGGAAACAAAAAATATGAACACAGGACGACACACACGTAATCGGAGACGTGTACCTACAGATTAGATGAGATACAAAGAAACGAAAAAATGTCGGCATTACATTTTTCTGGCAACGAGTAAGACGTAGAAGAGTAGAGGCTCGAATGACAATCTGAGTTATAAATGTTGCTTTATACTTTCAAGGAAAATAAAAACCAAATTGATTCAATCTTATAATTTTAACGAGCCAATATGAACTGTTATTAAAACCGATATTCATAAATCAGGTGAGAGCGCTACAGATATTGGAGACGGTGCAGCTGATGGCGAACGGATTCCCGCACCGCATGCGATTCCGAGCCTTTTGCGGGCGATATTGCGGGCTGGGGTCCCGAGGGAAGGATACCGCCGCCGATAGCGGAGAAGCGACATGCGCGCGCGTCTTACGCGTCGCCACCGCAGCCGCGCCGCCTCCGTCGCACTCGCCTGCCGCCGTCCGCTGGGCCATAGGCAAGCGACACGTCTTCCTCAGCGAGGGTATGCGACAGGTATGCATACAATGCGCACCCTCCCGTCTCCTCGCGCCTACGGCGATCGACGTGACCTTCGACAACGTTTCAGGTGTTGGAGCGCATGCGCCGCGCCCGGCGTCAGGCAGCGGCCCGCTGCATCCAGACCGCGTGGCGGCGCCATCGCACCATGTCTCCCGACGCCCCCGTTCGACCCCGACCGGCTCCCATCGCCGGCACCCCTCCGCCGGACTCCAAGTGCGACCCCGCCCTCGTCAAGAAGACCTGCTCGCTCTTCGGCCTCGATCTGGTGAGGGCGATTTGTCCGAATCTCAGAAACGATAATCTAGTCTAATCTAATAATGGGTTTCACGTTTCGAATCGACTTATTTTGCCGCAGGAGCGACCTCCACCGCTGCCTCCGTCCCGCGCCTACACCGTGTCCAACGGCGTGAAACTGGGCTATCCGCAGCAACGAACCGTGGCGACGGAATGGGACGAGGCGGGCGTGCGCCTCCGCGCCGGAGAAGCCGTGCTCGCGCTGGGCGCGGCGTCCCGCGGGCGCGTGACGGTGCAGGTGGGCGGGCGCACGGTGTCGGTGCCGCACTCGCTGCTCTCGCCGCCCCGCGCCACTCGGCCCGCCCCGCCCCCGCCTCCGCCGCCGTAGCCTGGCTGTCGCGAGAACAGCGGCTCGAGTATTTGTGGCCGCGTGCTTCTATAGACTGTGGAAAGTGAAAACGAACTTACCCGGAGTCTTCACATACAAGTTGACCGAATACGAGTCTACTTAGAGTGTGACGATTTATTTAATGAATTTGTACCTAAAGTGTAATTTATAATTATCAGTATTTACATATTACCATAATACAGGATATCGATCGGTAGATGAGAGTCTGACAAAGATACGCGTCACGCTTGCAGCCGTGCCTCGTAAAATGGTATTTTCTGTTTCCGTCGCATTGGGTCAATGAAAACTGACATCGTGGCACCTCTAGCACACTCCGTCTCGTAAGCTTGCCAATAAGAGTCTGATACATTGTTAGTTGTACGGAGAAAATTATTTTATATATAAATAAAAGTGTATATTCAAATAAAGTGGTTTTATTTAGTCAAAAGACGCCGGCTGCGTGGAATGTGAGCGAGATGCGCCGGCGACGAGCTGTCTCGCGACTTCGTCTATTTCGGGCGTCCCTCCTCATGACGTGTTTCTTTTGTTGCTCTCGAACTGTTCCGTGCAATATTTTTTTTAATATTTAGTAGACATTATTTAAGACAAGTCGTTCGGAAACAAATGCTGTATTCACCTCTACAACCACAAAAGCAATTCATTTATGACTATTGACAAAATTTTATTATTTACAGCGCTCAATTAAAAAATAAATACAAAGGAACATCATATTAAGTTTATAATATAATAAGTTTTCTAAAATTGCTAAGACAATTATGAGTGTTGTCTATATTGGTCGTATTCAAAATTGCCAACGGCGCGGCGACGGCGACCCCTCACGGCGATGAGTTGCTGGAAATATATCAAGGGTGTCGCAGTAAGAGTGCACTTTTTAAAATTTGATTTTTTTTTTCATGACAACTCTGAAATTTGACAGCTGTCACCTCTGTTTATTCCGATTATAAAAAATGGAGCGCTTTTCGAAAGAACAACGCGTTATAATTGTGAAAACTCGCCTTCGCCAAATTTTCAGCCGAGAAAGTGCACCTATTGTGTCAACCATTCGAAGAGTGGACAAAAAATTTAAAGAAACTGGGTCAAAAATGGATAATAAGAATCCTTTACGTCAAGGTTCCGGTCGGTATCTTGAACATCGACATCATTCTCAACAACTTCAAATTTCACGAAGCACTACGCAGCGAATTTGACTAAAGACCTTCACCAAGTCATGGAAAATTTCATGAAAAGAGTAATGGAGTAATCATCGGAGCCATGGGGGTCATTTGCCGGATATTTTATTCCATACTTAATCGGAACATGTCTTCTTTACAATACAATAAAAATATCACAACTTCATCATAAAATACTTGTTTTTATTTTAAAATGTGCACTCTTACTGAGACACCCCTTACTAACAATGTTAAAGCAATAATACTCCACAACGAGAACCTTAATTACATTTTTTTATAATAGTAATATTTGAGAAAAAGCCACGAACACGAGGCGATGAAAACACCGCCAATATTTATATCAAAACAGTAATCTGGAAAAGATTTAAACTTAGCCTTTGGCTAAGTCGGTCAAGAGACATCTAGACTTTCTCCGAAAACCGTTCCGTATAATATTTATTTACTAAAATCTATTACAATCAGCAAAAACTTGGCAGTACAGGTTCCGCAACGAGGTAGATACAAGTCTAAACACTATACGAACGTGTATTTATAAAATTATAATTTATAAAATACACGTTCGTATAGTGTCTCATATTTATAGTGGACTTAGCAAAAGTACAAATCGTTCGAAACACTCGTCAAACTCTGCTTAACCTACGTTTAAGTTGAAAAACACACTTCACGACAAAGATTACTAATTTAAAGACGAGTCAACAAATAATATAATAATTTCATTTCGCCTTTAGTATATATTTCATAGAGCACATGTGCATTGTCAGCACGAGAAGTTCACAGAATCCAACATACAATTTCATTACAAAGGTATATAAACGTTCTTACATCTAATTTATCAACATTTAGCTTCGGCGATAAGGCCAAGCAATGGTCATCGATAGCTCAAATATCCAGAGGACTAACATTCAATATGAATATAAATGCAAAAAGATCGACTTTCACCGAATTGTATGTCAAATATCGTCACCAGTTAAACAGAATTAACACACACGACAGAGATTCTTGAAACTAGAGACAAAAATTATTGAAACATTGAATTTACGAAATCTTGGCAAATTTAAGTTTGTTTTCGTAAGTCGATTTTTGTGCAGTAAATGTCTTTAGGAATGGATTCAATCAAATATCTACAACCCTTATCAACATTTCATCGTTCATTCGTAGATGTGAACGGAATGCACCGCGGGCTAGTTCAGTAAATACAGAGAATTGTGTGAGAGTGAAGCGAGGACATCAGACGGTGCGGGCGCGACAGCAGAGTGCGCGCAGGCCTCGGGGCTAGTCGCGGGCGATGGGAGTGCTGCACATGGCCGAGGGACGCCTGGCCGCGAAGGGCGTGCGGGGGGTGCCCTCTCCCTCCGCGGCCCCCTCCGTCCCGCGGCAGAGGGATGAGAAGACCGTGCTCGAAGACACCTCGCGCACGCAGCGCCGCTGCTCCGCTGCAGTACGCATTACAACCACGTCACTCTTTATTTTAAAAGTACAGAGGACACATTTTACCACTTTGGAGATATTATTGGTATTATTAATAAAAAAAATTGAAACATTTTGGCATAAAATCGTAATGCTCTTCACAGAATACTATAATATAATACCTTCCAAATTTCAATTTGTGGTCCTAATAATAAGACAGACTTTCACATGTAAGTTTGCGCCTTGATAATTACCGATCAAATTGTGGAGGTTGTCTATGGTGACTTCAGAGCTGTAGGTGGCGTCGACGGCGCGTTGGAGGAATGCTGTCCACGCACTCAACTCGGTCTCCTGCAACATCGTATGGGTCAAATCGTAGATTCAAAAACAATATTATTTCAAAGACTATTTATAGTCTCTGATTTGGGATTTATTTATTATCTAATTCCTAAGCGCAGCATTAGCCTAGTGTAAGTGCCTGACTGAGGCAGTGCTGCTTTATTGGTCTCCCGATCAGGATATCTCAGGCTCAAATGGACTAAAACCGCTGGCGCCTTCTTAGAGATTAACCGGCGTGGTCGAGTCGGCCTGAATATACGCTCCGTAATCCCTCCAGAATATAGAAAAAAATATTCTTATTTTGTTACAATTGACACAGTTTAAAGAAAGTTGAGACGATACAAAACAATTGATACATCGCGAAAGGAGTACTATATCTAATTTCATATTTTGTGATTGTAATTCGATTCAAATGGCATAATAATTTAGACTGCTGTATTTCAATCTAAATGAACAGTAAAAATAGAAAACTTGTCCACTACATCGTATGCGTATTTTCCTAGCTTTATTACTATAACATCTGGCAGCCGAGGGTCAGAGCGCAATGCAGCATATAAATAGGCGTGACGGTCAAGGACCGTCGAGGCGGACTTGAAAATTTTTCGCCTTTTAATTCCCGTATGTCGGCCAAGCACCTACAAACTCTACATTACGGAGACGCGAAATTGGTATGTAATTCAAGAGGCGTGGGTCGGCAGCGACTGATCAAATTAGCGTGTTCAATGAGTCCATCCTCGCGTCACCTAACGCACGAAGTGCTATGATTCGCGCCGACAACTGCCTATACTGAGGTGAGCACTAATAATAACCCGCGCAAGCAGTTCATCCGTCCCGATCATAATTCGCTTCCTCAAACTACATCTACGCATCACTCATCGATATTCTCGACACTTTCTGTCGTGTTTAACGAACGAAAAGAGCATTTTTCATAACATTTTTATTACGATCACTTACATCACCTCCATCTAAAGATGAAACGGTGACGTCATTGTATATCCTTAGATAAAATATGTCAAGGCCTTCCGAAACATCCGAAGCGGGCCTAAAGATGTGTAGCCGGTAAGAGTCCGGATGAAAAGGGGATCAATGTCAGGTCCTCGTAACTGGGGGGCCACTTCAGCGGCGGACGGTGTGCAGTCGCGAAGCGTTTCATACAATTCGGATGTGAGGTCAAGACAACGATCTTGTTTTAAGCGGTCACATACACAAACCATAGTCGTGTTATTTGACGTGTAGACGATAAAATACGTTTAGTAATTAGAGATTTTATAACACGTTATAAAATGTATCAAAATATATTTATAGTTTAAATAACAAACATTTACGAATTACATATATCATAATTTATCTTTCATAATTAAACGTAAAAATATATTTGTACTCTCCGATAACAATCGCTATATAATAAAACGCTATTCTCATGACTACCCGAGTTCGTTTGAACTAGGTCAGATGTCGGCGCAAGGTGAAGGATCTTGCTCGCACTCACACTTCTGTTCCGTTAGGTATGTTTGCTTAAAAATACATTAAATGGCGTTCAAAGAACGGCTCGCACAGAACTTTTAACCTTCCGACTCCCAGAACCAACATTGGGTTCCGCGAGCCTCTTCACAGGATGTGTTCTGCTTTGGTTTCTGCCACTAACATCGACCCTTTTTCGCACTCACTCAAAACAACTATTAATGTCCTAATCCTTGAATCTTTCTTCTTTATTATAGCTACCAGTACGTTTGTCGTTCTCCGGATTTATAAATTTTGTGCTGTCATGTTTTGTTTTGCTTTGTACTGTATCATATTTTTTATCAGTGAAACTTTTTGTGTATATACATCCAATGTTTTTATTTTATGTTTTATTTTTAACTTTTTTTATTGTATAGATATAGTGTATCTGTTTTGTTTCCCAAATAAATAAATAAATAAGGAAAGTATGTCGCGAAGAGTGGTTTTCGAGATTCTACTTCTTCCCATGGAAGCTGAGTTTACGAGGACCAGTTAAAATTGTATAATTGTCAGAATTAGTGCAGCCGGTGGAAATTTATTCCGTTATCAATGAGGGCCGACACCTTATCGCTATAAGTTACCGAACCGATAAGTGTTAGATCTCCAATTGACCTACTCCCAAAACCAAAGGTACATCGCGCGTGTGTAGAAAGAGCAGCCGTGTCGTGTTTTCCTGTCGCGTGCGCTTTCACTACGATTATATTAATGCACCACAGGGCTGATGTTTTTACAACCGGCTATCATAAATTTCACATTTGAGTACGATTCGTATGCATTACTATTCTTACATAATTGTATTAGTTAAATAACAAAGTAGTTTATAATTAAATTATTAGAATGGCATGGGTGCGTCGACTTCGGTAGTGGTAACCCTAAGCATCACTAATCATTAGAAAGTGAGAGATGACATGTAGATCCCATACATAATACATTGCTTGCTCAATAATGCCTGAAGCCGCTGATGAGTGACGAGATTCGTTTCGGATGGATTTATATACGTTATACCCGACACCAGTGTACAACCAAACAAACTTGATTCAGATTTGGTGTACAATACAAATTTAGAATGAACTTATCCTATGGGAAAGTTAATTTATAAGCGCTTGGACAAGGTGACGAGTTGCCGAGACGCACTTGACTCTGGACAGTTTCTGACGCTAATACGTGCTCTAGTGGGCCTACTTATACAGGCTTAATAAGAAAACTCAAACAGTTGGGTGATAATTAAAGGCCGAGCGATAACATCGACAATCGATAAAACAAAGCGATTGAGTTAACGACACTACACGTGTCCTCATTTTGCTGCTCGCGTGCGTCCGATAATCGGATCTGTATGAATCGCTCGCACCTGCGAAGTCCTGTAACCCCCAAATAGCATGAATAGAATATTTGGCATAGGACATAACTATTTTAGTGTTAATTCCGCGCATACAATTTACCGAAATTCAGGAGCTATAATGGACTAAATTCTCTTAATAACAATATCTATTCGAATTCTACATACACGGGTGTAGTTCATCAGAAGTGCGAGCAGTGTATATGCTCAGCTGTTTGTGACGTGAGTAATGTAATTAATAAAATGACCGCCCAACGACAAGTTCAAAGTCCTAGAGAAGTTAAAACCTTTGTTTGTTTCGGTCACCGATTGATTTACAGAAAAATGTTATTTTTTCTTAGAAACATTGAAGTTACATTATATCTTGAGGAGGAAGGTAGTTTTAAGGTTATTTTTAATTTATTACTATTTTTGTATAATTGGTAAGACAATACCTACTTATAACATCAATCGAAGACAGAGTGCAATAAACAGATTAGTATTATGAGTAATCCAGCGCCGCAGTGACGACTTAGCCGCAATGGTATTAAGAGGCAGACTAGACGTCGAGACAATGTATCTATGACGGACCGTTTAGTTCCTCCTCACTAAATATTATGCTATAAATAAATAAACGTTTTAAGTATTGAGATTTTAGCTTTTATCGGTTCATTATTAAATATGTCTCTGAACTGATTAAAGATTATAAGGGCAACTTGGAAAATTGCTCAATATTTTTTTATTTTTGAATACATATGGGTTTTTTTTTAAATTTCACATCAACTAATTATTAAACACACAAATAAGGATGCAGTTTTAACAATTTCAAATTGGGAGATCGCTGCGAAACAATTTTCATTCGTTAATAGGTATATATCACTGGAAGTAAAACAACTATCACATAGAGGACGTACGCAACGCACAACATAAATCGTCAGGCGGGTTCGTAAACTCTGTGAGCACTAGTGGGGCTTCGCCCGGCGGGACTCCTCATTGCGGCCAGAGAAGCCCCAGCCTACCCCGCCTGGCCTGGGTCAGCGCTAACAAGATAATTGCCTTCGAGCTCAATTATTGTCTGGCGCGATAATTGCCCCTCCGACCTCGGTGGCCCGTGCGGACAATCTGTGGCCTGTAACTTGTTTTCGTAAAGGAACTTATTATTTAAAATTTAGGATTATGTATATTTTACAGTCTGTAAATAAAGATCACACGGCCTTCTTCGACTACCTTATTACCAGTCAACACAATGGTACAGGTTCCCACGACTCCACCATGCAAAAACAAAGACCGAGCGACTGGAAACATTAAATTCATATATATATAGTTTGTTGTGGTTGGTGATGTCAATGGAAACATAGGGCTCAGTTTGTAACCGTATAAGGAGACTGAGGGAGATGTTTGCGAAGTTCTAGAATTGAGATAAATTCTGTTCCAAAACCGAAGAGTTAAGCGAAAATGTCACCCACGTGCAACAACACACACTTGTCACAATAGCAGCGCACCTACATAACCGAAAATTATACTTTCTCTCCTCTCTCAGGATGCTCTGTAATCATTCTGACATCTCGGATATTTGGGCTCTGAGCTCACTCCGAATTAATCACGTCCAGTTGACCTTAATCCGAGTTATAGCGATATCGTTTTCTTCGCCAAATTTTAATCATGACATATCACTCATAAAATCCTGTCAGTGACATTTTTTTTATTACAATTCTAAAACCGTATTTTATTACTAAACAGTGCCATGGTTTTATTATGAGAAATTTATTTGTCGCTCTTTTAACTGCTTAGTAACTTCAGTGAAATGTAACGCTTCTGGCTCAGAAAATGTTGATTTTCTACCTCATTTAGCATTAATTTATATTTATTTTACTGCTATTTCTATTTTATTTCTTCCATAATGGTTTTAAGTATTAAATTTAGATCTACGAATGTGAAATGGAATGTTATGTGGGAGGATTGGATTTCCTTCTTTCTTTCAAGTAGCTATATCGACTAGATGCGCGTGAACAACCACATTAAGTGAAGAAAATTGCCGACGAACAATCAACGAGGCTGTAGCGGTTATCGACCTCAACGCCTCAAACACAGCACTCTGATGCAGGATATTTAAAAAACCTTGATTCGTCAACAGCGAACGAGCATGGCATAATAAATGCTAATTAGTAGTTTTAACAAAGAAAGTGTTGTTTCACATTGCTTATTAAGTCAGTAAGCCAAGTAAGCTGAGGCCCATGAGACGGAAAAGCGATCGCTTACACCGACATTACTTTAGTTAAGTAGTGTTCACGCAGCGTAACCGGACAAGTAGTATCGAGATATTGTGGTGGAACCGAGTTCCCGTTTGGGAGTACGGAGGCGGCGCACGCACGGTTTTATAGACCTAGTTTCTATTTTACTTGCTAACTCTCCCCGGGTTTAATATATCTTGACCTCAGCCAAATAATTGTTCATAAAAAAGTTTCGACAGCTTTTCTAGAATATATGTGTCGTGTTTTCAATATAAAATAACATATAGGCCACCGCGGCTTTCAAATACTGCAAAGGCAAACCTCATTAAAGCCTACTCATGTCGTCTTGTATTTACCCACAGGCACAGGAATTTTTAATTTGTGTGCAGTAAAATAAATTACAAAAAATAACCGCAATTAATTAATGATTTAATTTATGCATAAAACAGTAAGTGGAAATCAATGAGTTATGTATACCTAATTGATACTCTAAGATTAAAAACAACTCGACATACACGAGTCTGAAGCAGACAAAGGATGGTGCAAAAAGTTAATTGTATTGTACCAGACGCCAGTGATTATGAGCGGTTCATAGATAATTTAAAAATCGGCCACTGCTTATTGCTTCTAGAGCAATGAAATAATAAATATACTACTAATAATATACTACTATACACATTTTTAAATATTTTCAAACCCCGAGTTTCTTCACCGGATAAAATTAAAGAGATAAATCGCACGTTTCTAACAACATATTGATATCCAGTACGTGGCCGTAAATATCGCACGTCGGCATTTATTGTTTATCAAAGTTTGAATACAGAATCTTAGTTGTTCAGTTTGATTTCCGCGTGAACAATAAAGAACTGTCAAACTATTTTCTTTTTTAACTTGTATTTATTGATGTTGTTTAAACCCTTTTTGTGTTTTCCGTGATTATTACTTGTTCCGCTGACGGTGCGACACGAAATTATCTCGTAGGTTTTGGCACAATTTATGAACGATATAATAAAACCTTTAATTTTATAAGTTATTTACCGACCTTTTTATTTTAATCATGTATTTTTTTTAATTTTATTGACTAGTATAGTAGTGGTTATACCCTGATGTCGTGCCTTCAAATAATTAAAAATTGTTTATAAGCCGAAAACGTCGCAAAAATAACAGCCGTTGCTTGCCTTAAATGAAAAATATTTCCCACTATATTTATACATACATATATGTATATCTATAAATCTTCAGTGTGTTTGTAATAAATCTCCTCCTAAACGGCTGCACCGATTTTGATGAAATTTTTCGTGTGTGTTCAAGTGGATTCGAGAATGGTTTAGATTTACAATCAGGAGATTTTATTATGAGAAAATATTAATGTAATTTATAATTGTTTAATCAAGCCACATTTCATATATCTAATTGCAATATGGGGTACAGCATGCAAAAACAAAATTTCTAACATACAAACACTACAAAATAAATTAATAAAAGCTAAATTAAAAATTGTATCTAAATAGTAGATACAATGTTTAAACACAGACTAATATTATCTACCAAGAAACCAAAATTATGACGATTAAACAACTATGTATATGTTTTAGCACCTGTATCATAATTTAAATTTTTTTAAATAACTCTCCATAGTAGCTTATTATTTAGAAAAATCAAACATACCACTACAAGCAATACTCGTCGAGCGTGTTTGCTTATCTTGCCGAAGCCACGTACAAATTATTTGAAGAAGTCTATTAAGTATGAGGGTGTGCAATTATTTAATATAAACATATTAATAATAATTTACAATCATAATAGTAATGTTAGCAAGTTATAAATATTTTTTAATTCAACATACCATACAGTTTAAATTAAAAATATGGGAGAAATAAGATAATTACCATCTTGGCAAGCATGGTGTCCATTTGAGGACGGTGTGTGGCGGCGAGCAATTGTCGTATTCGCGAAGCATTAGCAACACATTGTGTCATGCAGCGCTGCAATGCCGCAGCCTGTCTCACTAGGGCAGCTGACAATGGTACCCCGTCATCCCCACCACTACGCAATACTGTCTCCAGCACCTGTGCATGCTGCGACACAAACTCTAGGCACCTCTGCAACTCTGCCGCCTTACACTGCTGGCGATCTAAAAAAACAGTATATTTATGCCACGCTTAGACTCAATCCTAAGATATAAATTTGAGCTCCTATTATAGAATAAGCCCTGTTTTCTGGACAAATATGATGATGAGTCGTAACTACTTGGAATAATGATTTAAGTAGAGTAATATATTAATCTGAAATTTATATATAGTTTTGACAGTTTTTACTGACAGTAACTATTCAATATCATCATAACAGAAAGATATTATGTGAAGAACAATGTCCTTGGATAAAAGTAATTATTCCCTGAGAAAATATCTACATAACATAAACTTAGGGTGAGATTCAGAGTCATACCCTTTATTATTACTTAGTACTTAGAGCCAAGAGTGGATCCTAGTTGATAATTTTATTAGTAAACAAACTTTTGTAATTGGACTTATTATTCATACAAATTTAAACTTTAAGAGTGGAGTGTGTGACCATCCCACTGATTCCAAATTCCAGATCCGCCCTGGCTTAGAACTTTATTAGAGTAAATAGAGCTTATTTTAATAAAAAAAAACTTACCATGAAAATCATAAATTACTTGGGTTCTTCTTTGATATTTCTCCTCTTGTATTTGTCGCTCAGTATCAGCTTGTTTTTCTTGAGCTTCAAGGATTTCGAGAAATGAGCAAAACATAGATTTTCTCTCATTTGAGTTCCTAACGGTCTCTTGCATTTTGAAATGTAAGTTTATTTTAATTGTTGTTGTTTTATAAAAATACCAATATTTATTTAAAAAACAGAAGATTATTTAATATTTTGTGCTTTATTAACGATATATTAAAATTGAGCAGTTTCCTAAAATCAGAAAACAAAAATCATATTTAAGAACCACACAAACGCTCAGTACTAAACAAGAAAAACGACTACAGGAAGTAGGAACGAGAATTTAATTGTGACTGTGACAACTAAATGTCAAATCTGTTGAACTACAGATTGCACAGAACCACAAATAACTTCCATTTTTCAAACAGTCAATGACAACTTGAGACTTTAACTTGACAGACTGCCCTGGGGGTCTAGCCAAGATGGCTTAACTCTAATAATTTGGGCCTATTTACTAATTTGTACAACAATACTAGTAAAGCACAGGGGCCTTATCAAGATGGCTTAACAGTAGTGTATGTAGAAAGTCGAAAACTAAATTTGTATGAAAATGACAGCTCGTGACTCGTGTCGACAGTCGGTAGCCTAGGCCCTAAAGGCGTGAGTCGGGGATACAATAAGCGACGCCATGACAGTGCTACGAAAAGACACACTAATGTGTGTCTTAACGCTTATGCTATTCGGTAGCCAACGGCCAATTAATGTTATTAATGTTTCGGCAGTGTAGAAAAAACGGCGTTTCTCCGCCATGTTTTAGCGTGATCTCAAAAGCTGCTGTTTGCAATAATTCAGTACAACTATCGCCATCTTTAATGGCTACCGTTTTAAAAACATGTCATATTTTTGATATTTTGGACGTTTTAACGAAAAAGTTTTGATTTAGTTATCGGGCTTTTTAAACGTTCTCGTATAATTATAATAATTTTAACTAGAGTTAATATTTTTAAGTTAAGAGTTTTAGTTTTTCAATGAATCAATGCGAGGATAACATAATAGACATAAATATGAAAATATCACGAAAATCAGCAAATTAGTAGGGGTAAATCCTAGTTATATTGGATATCTTTTATTGATATTTATATTGCATGTAAGTTTATGAAATTGTTCTTTTATTTGAAAAATATATTATGTAACTTAAGTTACTTGTTTGTTGTAAACTTTATACCACTTAATATTGCTTAGGTATATCACATATTATAATCACAAAGTAAAATGATACTACAATTTAATTGTACATTTCAGATGAGAATGCAGTCACTAATGAACATAATTAGAAGTTCTAAATATATTTTATTGTAATTATATTAGAAGCTAATGATATAATATTAATTTAACTTTAACTTATCAAATAAACTGGATTTATACTTCATGAACTTTGGAAATATAAAATCTAGTAAACAATACTAAGTAATGGTAAGCAGATACTTTATTTAATTATTTATTACTAAGTTAATATACTAGAGAAGTTTATCATAATATTGTTAATGAATTAGAATTTTGAATTCAAGTCCCTTGGGAATTACAGACATTGTTTGGTTATTAAAAATTTGAATTGACAATAAGCAGCAAAGTGACAAATTACATAATATATATTTTTAAGTTTTAAATAAAGTAAAGAGTTTTAATATTAAAGTTACCTATTGAATAAACCGTTACAGTTTAGTTTGTCAGTTTTCTGTTTGATCAAAGTACTAATTAAAATATTTTCTTTTCAGAAAAAGATAAGCTAATAAGACAACTAAAAGTATTAACAGAAACCACAAATGGACAAGTTTTATTTAAGTCTTAGCTTTAAATTAATTTAAGTGTTATATTAAGTACCTGAAAATTAATTTGATAATGGGGGATGAAGCATTTCATGAATAATGTAAAAAGTAAGAGGAGTGGAGTGGAACATTACCTTAAGAACAGGAAACAGTAACTGAAACTATATTCATCCACATTTAATCGTAATAAATTCAGCAGTTTGAATGTTAATGAGATATTTATTATAAACAAACTACATTTGTAGATTTTGGGAGGAATTATATCTTTAATAACTATTATTAATTACAATCGTTGTGTTGAGGAAACAATCACTATTTTTTTAACTGCCCAGGATGTGTTCATGGTAACTGTAGGTATCACAGTAATTTTATGAAATCATCACATCTAACGTTAGGTTTTATGAATTGAACAATTTTTTGTATATAACAGCACACAAAAGATATTGATATTGCTGCAAATTTACACTTACATTTATTAGTTATTTATCAATATATATATATATATATATAAATATGAATACATCTACATTAGGTAATAATGCATTTAATTTGGTGCATCTGTTTGTGTTGTGTAGTAATGGCTGTATTGTTTATTTAGTTGTATGCTTATTGTTCTATTTATACTATGCAACATGTTAAGGAAGATGTACCTTATTTTAATAAAAAATAACGATGACAAACATTTTTATTTTACTACCTGTTTGTTTAATGTTCCAAATTATTAGTAGGTACAGGTTATTCTTATATGCTTTACCTGTAGCAATATTATAGTAAAATAAACGAATATGTGTGAACCACTTTAATGGCTTTTCCGACTAAAGAAGACATAGGTCATCTACTAAAAATAAAACTGTTAAATACATAACATACAATTTTTATTAATTTCTTATTTAATCAGATTTTGTATTTACATATTAACTTGTAGCAAATCACTGATATAAACAAAAGTTAATTGACATGAATATTAACTTAAAATCAGCATCAAACTTAAATTTATATCTATGATGTTGGAGCACCAATATCAAATCAAAAGTTGATTATGGGTTATAATTTCATACCAGACTAGGTTTCTATTTTATAATTTTTATTAATCTCTCTTCATTTCATTGAGTACTTGCTGTATTTAAATTCTCCCTGTTTAAAAATATAAATATATTATAAACAATCAACTTTTATGACTCTAAATTAAACTGAAATTGTTTGTTGGACATACACAGAGATAATGCCAACTAGTAGCAAATCACTAATTAAATCTACACTTATATATAAATCTGCTTTCAAATTGACATTAAAACTGTTCAAGCACAAACACCAAACCCTAATTAAAGTTTAAATCAAACTCTAATCTCAGTGTTCACTCTAGTCTGCGTTTTATTTAATTTTTTTTTAAATTCCTTGGACTTTATCACCTGCTAATCAATCTTCTTTGCTGCAAAATTACAATAATATTGTAAAGTTTTAACTTTTATTCGGTTTATAAATGTGACATTAGGAATACATTTAATCCAGAGACAATATGACGGAATAAGGTGCTACGAACAGCAGCTCGCATCTACAGCTGTCGACTTTGCGGTAGTGTATCGATATGCCTCTTGGCTACGAACGAAGCGTTTTCGACAATACAATTACGCAAAAGCGGTAGTGTATGTAGAATACTTTTCGACACAAATATGGCTAGAAAATTAAATTAAATTTTCACCACCGTGAAAAAAAACGTCTACCAAGAACGAAGTTTCCCGCGCTTTTTTTTTTTGAGTATACTTTAAACGGTTTTTCATTTGAGATTCATCTTGTGACTTTAGTCACAACTAAACTTTAGTTTTAGTTAGTAAGTCAAATGTTGGTAGTTTTTATTTTGACCTCTTAAAAAAATCGATTGTTTGTATGAAATATATGACTATCTATAGTTCTTTGTGAGAATCTATGGTTTAATGTTCTGTGATCATGATTAACCAAATTTGAGTACATACATATTGAATTTACGAGAATATCTGTCAATATCAAACAAAACTTGTAGCGGCAATTGAATGAATTATTTTACATTGAAACTAATTTTGTGGTGAATTTATCATAGTATAATGGCTCGTGAAAGCAGTGCTGGATTTGATAGACATATCACTATATTTTCTCCTGAAGGAAGATTATATCAAGTTGGTACGTATCGGGTTAATATTGAATATACCACTATAAGTCGAGTAGTGGTTATATATTCAATTATAACAAAATCTGCAGGAACATATATATTGGATTCTAAACTATGCCGTATATTAATAAACATTCTTTATACACCTTGGTTTTAAACATCCCTTTATGAAAATCTGTTTTTCTTTGAGAAAAAGTTTATTTTCATTTAATACATGTATATATATCATCTATCTTGTCTTAGAGTATGCTTTGAAAGCAATCAATCAAGGGGACTGACATCCGTGGCCCTGCGCGGGGCGGATGCAGCCGTAGTGGCTGCGCAGCGCAAAGTGCCTGATCGTCTTCTAGATCCAAAGTCAGTTACACATCTGTTCACACTCACAGACCACATTGGCTGTGTTATGACTGGCATGACAGGTACTGATGTATTTTTATATAAAATTATTTTAACATATCAAGCTTAAACTACAACAACATGGTTCATTATTATCATTTGTCAATATTCAATATGCTACCATACTGTAACTGCTTCAATGATTTTATTAGTAATTACATTTTCTAAATGGATCACATATTGTGAGATTTAAATAATGCATTTACAAATATGTACATTCATCATTTGCTTTGGCAGCGGATAGCAAGTCACAGGTTCAGCGAGCTCGGTATGAAGCTGCTAATTGGCAGTACAAATATGGCACAGAGATTCCAGTACACATCCTGTGTCGCCGCATTGCAGATATCTCACAGGTCTATACGCAGAACGCCGAGATGAGGCCACTGGGATGCAGTAAGTTCAATAATTTTCCTACGGTTGATGTTGATATATTTTACAGAGGTGAGTGAATATTAACCGGACTGATGCAGGCATGATGCTGGTTGCGTATGATGAAGAAAACGGCCCCAGCGTGTTGAAGACGGACCCTTCGGGATACTACTGCTCGTACGCTGCAGTGGCGGCCGGGGCCAAGGCCACGGACGCCAATGCCTACCTTGAGAAGAAGCTGAAGAAGCGCTCCGACCTTTCGTCCGATGAGGCAGTGCAACTCGCGATCACCTGTCTCTCTCACGTTCTGGCTGTCGACTTCAAGAGCTCTGAAATCGAGGTGGGCCTCGTCACCAAAGAACATCCCAAGTTCAAGTGAGTTCAATGCTGTAAATCCGATTGTTGTCTTACAAATATATGTATTAATTATTATTATTCTGTATATAAACACACTAGCAGCTTAATAAGCTGATGCGCGCGTATTTTGAGATTTGGAGAAGCCATCCAATCTATTTTTAAAGGAGTTCAGAGATGGTGCACTGATTACACTTTCCGGAAGCCTATTCCAGTCGGCCACTACTCGGTTTGGGAGAAAGTTCTTTAGGGAATTTGTGTTATGTTGAGTGGTCTTAAGTTTTAAAGAACTACCCCTCAAATGTGTATTTTCACTTAAAATAAAGAGCTTCTCAATTCCTGGAACATTATAGTGGTCAGTGAGGATTTTATAGGTTTTTAATAAGATTTTCTCTTAATCTCCTAATTCCTAAATCAGTAAGGTCAAAAGCTTTCAGACGCTCATTATAAGATTTCTTCCTGAGTGACCTGATCATTTTCGTGGCTTTTCTTTGGACCCTTTCAATCATACTAATCTATTTTATGAAATAAGGATCCTAAATGTATGTTGTATGTAAACTTTTCTTTTACCAGACTAATAAATAAAATAAATCAATTATTGTTATCGTTGCAGGGTTCTATCAGAGAGCGAAATAGACAGGCATCTCACTGCTATCGCCGAAATGGATTAAAACTTCATGAATTTTATAAATACTGTGTAATTTTACTAAAATTGAATAAAAATACTGGTGTCGTAAAGTTGTGTCATTTATATTCAGATTAAAGAAAATGTATTCTGCATATATATATAATCATCCATGTCAAGTCAGTTTTACAAAAACGTTACTAATTATATTCGTAAGAAATATTAGTGTGATTATAATGGACAAAAATCCAGGGAAGGAAATGAAATAAAATTTTAAGAGTCCGTGACCGGTAGACTATTCCGCGAGCAGTCCCGCGTCTCCCGCCGGGATGTCCTCGAGAAGGGCCCGGGGCATCTCGGGAACCGCGTCGGAGAAGGCGTGCACGTGGCAGCAGAAGGCCAGGCCGTAGAGCGGAGTCTCGTAGCGACGGTCGCGCCGCAGCGCGAGCAGCCACGGCACGCGGCCGCACGCGCTCTCGCAGAACACCGCCTCGCGCACCTCGCTCACCGCCACGAAGGGGTCGTTAAGCACCACCACGGCGAGCGCGCGCCGCCGGCGCCGGTCCACCACCACCGTCCATACGAACCGAGGTACGGGAAACCGGCCTCCGATCAGCCGGAGCGGAGTCCGCGCGCCGGACGCTCGCACGACCCCCTGCCCGTGCGTGCCCGCGTAAACTTCCAGCGCCGGATCGTGCGCCAGGAGCCGGGCCACGTCGTTCTGCAGATGACGCAGGTTTCCTTCCTTGACGCTCGTCCACGCGGCCACCGCGTTCGACGCGAATCGCGAGACGCGCGCGTACCGGTCCTCGAAGTAGGATTCGGCCAGGAGCTTCGCGCCGGCGAGCGTCTGTCCGGCGAAGTCGACCCCGTCGTGTTTGAATATCTCGCGCAGGCGCCGATTGAGGCTAGCCTCGTCCGAGTAGAGCGTTTCGGCGCGGCGGCGAGTGCGCGCGTCGAACATCTCGTTGAAGTTGCCGAGCAACGAGAGCGGAGACCGCGCGTGGTCGTGCGGCGGCAGCGGGGATGCGCCGCGGACGTGAGCCATCGTGGCCACGCCGCGGTCCTCGTCGTAGCATAAAGTCGCGAGGTGCCGCACCGCCTGCGTCGCGTCCGCGAGCTGATACGCCCGTCCCTGCAGCGGCGCCGCGCAGTGTTCCACCTTGAAAGGCAATGAAGTAAGTCGACTAACTTACGGTAGCCGACGTTCGTCATCGCCGACTACGAGATCGCCGTCGACGTCGTTACCGTGTGCAAGACGTCTTCGAAGATTTCCTCCTGGCAGCCGAGCTCCAGGAGATGCCGCAGTGAAGCGTCGTGCCCGAGACGGAATCGGCCGTCCTCGCAGACGGCGACGACTGCGGCGCGCAGCGGATCCAGCAGCAGACGGCCCGCGCCGCACGAGAACCTGATCTCGTCCCCGCTGCGCAGGCGCATCTCGCCATCGACTGCGCGGTGTGACGTCACCAACGGCATGTGCTCCGGCAGACATTCCGGGCACCCCAGTTCGATCACGCATTCCGCTGTAGTAGCATAATATGAAATGTCTGTTGATACCGTTCACCTTCTCAAGTATTAAGAGCCAATTACTAGTACTGAGCGAGTAGCTCTCGGTAGCTTTAAAAGAAAATGTAGATAAAAAAGTCAGTTCAATCGCATACCTTTGGTGGGTGTATAGACAACAAAACACAAATAAGTATGTACTTACAATGAAAAACACAAAAACTTACGTTGAACAAGTAACGCGACATCGAAAGAACAAACGAGAAGCAGTAGTAGCAACATCCCGAAGACAATCGGAGCACTGAGGCACGGGCCGTGATAAGGCGGGGTTATCCCGACGTGACCCGACTCGGTGTACGCAACCCCTATATTGTGTCAACAATCATTTCAAAATTATGTTTGTTTCAGTTGACTCTCGAAGTTAACTAATCTAGGGAAAAATCCGTCCATTACGAGAAAAGTTTTTGACAGCAGACGTAATATAGAATACAATGCGGGAAATTATATCAAGCTAGTTACGAGACAAATGGTGACGGTTTAAATAATAATAACAATAATAAAAGTAGATTGTTTATTATGAATGTAATATACAAATTACAATGCCATTGTTTAATAAAAAAAGCGGGTAAAAACCGACGACACATACACCATACGATAATATTGTTTCAAGTATATAAAGTTCATGGCTTACGCTACGCTATACTAATGTGCGACCCACGCTTTATCGACGCGCCTTAACTATACACGGTGCTCCAGAGGATCCGATTGTGGGTTCTACAAGATGTTTGGTCGAGCACCTTTCTAAGACCGAGTAAACTGCAGTTTATTAATGCGAATATTAATCTTTTACAAATATCAAATCTTCTGTTAGGTACACTTTATAATATCTAAAACAACTAAATTACTTCACTCGTTTAAGGGATGTAAGATATTGAGGGACCCTTTTTTGTGTTTATAATGAAGACAAAAGCGTAAGATATGCAAGTCTCTCGCTAACCACAATGACTAATTTATATTTTAGTTGAAGAATTTTCACCATTGCACCTTTGCATTTCACTCTATTCTTCGGCCACACAAAGATGCATAGAGTACAGAAGTATTTAAATTAATCACAAAGAAATCTCTGAAGTGTAAAAGGACACGCCTTAGTGGTAGTGTGCATTCAATGATAATGAGGCCTCGGTTAATCTCACTACAGATATCCTCGACACGATGGAACATACCAACATAATATGTTAAAGAGTAATTGACAGAATTTGTCTTGAATATTATTAATTATAACAAAAAGATATCTTCATTTAATTTCTCGAGACATTGATTTAGCTTTCCAAAGAGGAATGACTTTAATTATTTAAGCACATTTAGCCCGAAAATATACAGACAATAATGTGGTACAACACATCACTGAGAACTATGCTAACTTCTTCGGGAACTACTATTCACTGACCACCGGCAACATAGACCAAAAATAATTGCGACATACAGTCCCAATATTACGTTATGGAGATATGGTACACTAAGTATGCAGGTGGTCGTGGGCTGGTAGCCTAGGAGCAGCAGGCGCGGGCGGGCGGAGCGCGCGATGGTCGGCGCTCGACTGCGATACGCGCCAGGTCGGCGTCCGCTTCGCGTCCCGCCGTCTTGTCGAGGATGGCCTCCGCCAGCTCTGAGAACGCGCGCTCAATGTTTATGTTGGACTTGGCCGATGTCTCCATGAACCTGATCCCGTGCTCGCGCGCTATCTGCAAAATACCATGAAATCAAGTGTCAAATAGGTAAATTCAGAAATGACTTACCTAATGGCGCTTCTAAACGGGCCATGTTTTGCTGCAATTGATGGCTGCAACACTGTGGCCGGCAACATTGCAAACAATAGCAGCCACACTATGCAATATTGCAGTAATGTCCCGGCCATATAGCCAAACATGTTTGTATAGCCACATTGGCTGATGTTGCCCCGATGGGTGGCCGGACGACCGCTAGGCTATCGAATTCAACTGCAATATTGCACAGCCAGTTCTATTGTTGTTTCAGTCACTCTCTTTGTTATGGCACAGTGTATCCTTTTCTACGCGACATGAAGTTTGCTATGAGTGAAGTGTGCCTGTTGCTATATTCTGTGTTTTGCAATCAGCTGCATTTTGACATTAGGTTACTACTTAAAAATGACTGCTTTTGACATTTTAGTAAAGTTCTTGAATAATTTATTATCAAGGCATATTTCTAGACTCAAATTGTCTACAGTTTCACGCCTATTTAAGTAAGGTCGAATCCACAATCTCTTCTTTTCTGTTTCTTTTTTAAAACAATATAAGCTGCTGTGACAAGTGTGATTTCATCAGGCATTGTTGCCGGTTTGTGTAGCCCGTTTAGGAGTCTGCATCATGGGCCATACTATTGCAGACATATTGCAACACATTGCCCAGCCATAGATTGTTCGGCCATCAGCTGCATTAAAATATTTTTGTAATGGCCGGGCAATTAGTGGCCAACAGTGCAGCCATCAATTGCAGCAAAACATGGCCCGTTTAGACGCGCCATAAGAACAATAGCAACAAGGCAATACAAATTAGACTGTTAGCATGAGTCACCAAATTGGCAAATATGACCTCAGGCTTTATGATCTTGCTATACTAAATACACACAGAAAACTGAAAAATTCCACAAAACACAGTCTTTACTTCACCTGACTTTAACAAGAATATAAATTGAGTAATACTCACCGCCTCTCCACGTTCTTTGCTGACAACTCTTTTTTCTTCCATGTCACATTTGTTACCGAGGATCATTTTTTCTACATCTTCATTAGCATGCTGAAATGGTTTTAAAAACATTGGAAAATATATTCATAGCTAAATAATTTACAATTTTTTTTACATTTTGACTTAAATTCATAAAATTTATACCAGTTTAACTGCACCGTTTCAACTACAGTAATTTTCTCTGTTATCATTACAGCAGTACAATCATTTAAAAAAAACTTAAAAGAAATAAAGCTACATGCATAATACATATGAGGATACATTTTGTCATATTTTTATAGAGAAAGTTAAAGAGTACAGCTTGAAATCAATAGGGTAACAATCAAATATATGCTAGAAAATGCTTTCATAAATATTTAAAAAATATTAAGTTTATTTACCTCATCTATATTTCTTAACCACTTGACAATATCATCAAATGTTTTCTCATTTGTTATATCATACACCAGCATGATTCCCATTGCTCCACGGTAGTAAGATGTTGTGATGGTGTGAAACCTCTCCTGTCCAGCTGTATCCCATATTTGAAGTTTTATTTTCTTACCTCTAAGTTCTAAAGTTTTTATTTTAAAATCTATACCTGAAAAATTAAAATTTAAATGAATCTCAAGTCGCAATTGTCACTTAATACTATTAAATTTCGACCTTGGTGATAATGAGAATTAAAGATGGAGATTGTACCAATAAATTTAGGATTCCATCAAATTCCTATGTATAAAAATATTTTAGTCTTCACAAAAACCGACTTACCGATTGTAGATATGAATGTAGTTGTAAAATGATTATCTGAAAATCTGAACAATATACATGTTTTGCCCACACCAGAATCTCCAATTAGGAGAAGTTTAAAAAGTAAATCGTAAGTCTTCTTAGCCATTGTATTTATTTAATATTTTATTATAAAAACTAAATAGAGGCACAAAAACTCCTACGATCTTTACAAAATTCAGACAGGCGACAGTTTGACGTTGACCTGCGTTTGACATTCATTTCATGTCAAATTGTCATTGCAAATTGCAAACACAGCTGCCGGCAACGTAGTTTACAGCAAGATTACATTATAGACAATATAATTGTTATAACAAAAAGTAATAAGCTGTTCACAGACATCATACAACTGTAGTTAATCTTTGTATTCAACCATAGATGTCGCCAGTTAGAAAGGTTCTAATACGTAATCATTTTTAATACTTCATATTAATTCCGTAATTTTTGTGGATATGTTTGTCTTCGGAATCCAATATAATTTAAATCGCAAATTGTATTTAAAGATATAATATGCAATCTAAAAAATATAAACGGGCGATCGGGCTTTGCGATAATACTGTTAATAATATACATATATGTATAACAATATGTATATTATTATAACTAAATGTACTACATAATAAAAATAGATATTATTGTTTTCAAAAATTGTATAAGTAAGTATAAAATTAAGAAAAAAATAATTATAAAAAGTTAATAATATCTACTGTACTGAACTATTTTAAGATACATTAAAATAAGTTTTGGGTATTTGACAAACAACAAGTAATGGTAAAACCCTGCGAGTATACAAATTAGTACGATTATCGACTTGGCAGCGAGAGCGGAGACTCCCAACAAAACCGCACTTCCGTTGACTATCAATGTTATGAGTCTGCCTAGCATCCGAGTTTTCGTATAGTCTTCTTCTATCAAACTTTATGAAGTAACATTATAAGAATTGTTTCCTGCACCTAGCTTCCGTTGCTTGATGTCACCAAGACCAACTCACAAGCGAATACGTAGGTGAGCTGTGAGGGTGACATAAACAGGGTTTTATGTTGCGTAAAGTTAAGGAAAAAATATATCGTCATCAGAATTACATGAGCTCTTATTCTACAGCGGCAACCTTAAAATTATGACTTTTTCGGTGCGTTAGTAAACGGCTAAACCTATTTATCACAGAACATGACTATGTACGCTGTGAGTAGGTATAATGACAAAAAAACATGTTCAGTTCTATCAAAGTAAAAATCTGTAATTGGAAATTTTTTGCTACTACTAATATCTAGTAGTAGTTCTAAAATTATATAGAAAGCTGTAAGTTTTGATGATCATAAATAAATATCTATATACAAACGAAGGACTTACAAAACAACTTCCTTATTAGGAGGTGGTCTGCGCCCTTATTCATATTCCATTAGCGACACCGATACCGATCCCGAAAATTATTAATTGTGGTCGTCACGCGTACCTACTATTGCCAATATTCACAATATTACCGTAATGTAGGTATATATAAATCTCATATTTGTTAGATTGAACGATATTTTAAGTTAGTATCTTGTTTTTGAGTTATAATTTTAAAACTAGGCACGAATTAGGCGTCATTCAATTTGGATAGGTTTTATTTAAGACTGCGGCAGTGCGCGCTTGTGTTTATAATCATATATATCTCAAAAAGACGCATCTTGATAATTTTGACCACGACATGTTTATTTATACTGAGTTATTTAATAATTGCTAAAAAGGCACGCTTGGAGCACAAGTAGAGGTTTTTTTAAAATTTTGTGAAGCTCAACGTCTAAAAGCTTTAACTATTTAAATAAATTGTATCCGATTGCTTATAAATTTAATAGTGAACATTAACCGTTATTTTTTAATTAAGATTTTATTAATTTCGAAGCGGATGCTGTAAACCGCAGAGTTCGTGGGTTCACTCTGGCCACCTGGCGTTCCTCTCGACCACAACTGAGCAGACACTATAGTGGACATAACTGTTAGTCTCAGTTCGATCCACTAACACGGTTTAGGCTAAAAGAATATTATTTGAGTACGTATACTCAAGCGTGGGACAGAGGTTTTTCAAGATTTTTTAACTTCCAGCACTTGGCAACGAATTGTTAATTATTTGCGCGGGTAATCTTTTCATGGAACGTTTAATTGTAAAACAAAATGGGTATTTCGATTAAAGAAGCATTGTAAATTGTGATTGTGTTGCTACGGATGACAGGTCGCCTAAGTTGTTTGTGAGACGACGAGCGGCGCCCGCTAACAATGGACCAGCACGGGTCACAGGACTAGCCGAGTCTAATTAACGGAATTTACGTACAATTATAGTTTTAATCAAGTGATTTTTTATTTTGAATATTAATCACACTGCTGAGTGTGCACGGCGCATTCCCATAAGGCCTTATTACAATAGTATAATACTTTTTAAAATATTCAATATAAGAACAAGAAGAATATATTGTCATTTTATTATTGTTGTACGGCCTTCGTTGAGTACCTTGCTATTAAAAATAAATATTATTTCCGGTAGTTATACCTACGAGACCATAATAATGAGTTAATAACTAAGTTTAGTTACCACTCATTCCGACCAGGAGGCACCCGGCACCCGGCACCCGGCACCGTTACTCGACAAAGAGTGAGCTGCCTGTGTGACTCAACGCTCGTCACTGCAATTACCACTTTGGTATACTTCCTAATATAGAGTCAAGAATATGTTTTATAAGCTGCTTTATTAAAGGTCCGTATGCTCACAATTTTTATCTTTCACTCATTTTCAAATGAAAACAGAAAAGGGTCACTTCAAAGCCTGAGCAAGATTCGACTTTTCATTTGTTGGACACGACATGAAGCACCTCGTTCTTGAACACACGTTGTCACAATATGTAGTATCTGCATACATTAACATGCCAATAAACAATACAACAACTGATCGCGCCGCCGCTGCCTGGGCGACCTCATCTCGTATGCTGGGACGCACCTCCTTGTAAAATGCAAAATTGCCCTTTAATATAAGGCGATTAGATATTGACCATTTACATTTCGTTGGGTATATTAACTCTTTGAATTTAAGCAGATATACTTATATCTTCACTAACAATGCAAGACAGCGTCGACGTTTGGGATGAAGTGCGGCGTCGTGCGCATCGTCACGTAGGCTCCCATGCGAGAAGCGAGTGACAGAGGCAGGCAGGCAAGTCACCGCATTCTAAGCCTTTCTATTAGCTATTGTAAGCTATTGTGTCGGTCCGTCACAACTCACACGCCTGTTTCACTTAATTTGGCCCTTTGTTCATATTATTCAAACTGTGTCAAGAAGAAACTTGAACGGTGCTCTAATGACAAATAATGTAATATTTATTTAAATAATATTTACTTAAAATTACTGATAAAGTTGGTTGAACGACAGTTATGGTATCTGCGTGATATCAGCAAAAAATAATATAGTCAATTGCCGTTTAGTATAAACTTTATTCATTGACTTCATACATTTAATTAAATATATAATGTCTGTGTATCATTAATAATCGGAATCGTCTAACATCTGTTTCGACATTGAGGTAGTACTAAGTTATGTAATATTAAAACTTGATTTCTGCTTAAAAACAAGATCGGGTCAAGGAACTAGCACTCGTGCAGTGTAGGACCGCGAGGCATGTGCCTGCTTTCCGGTGTGTCATGGTCTCAATATAACCACTCCATTGCGTGTTTGAGGCTGGATAATATTAATTTACTCACAAAACACGCCTTGTACAGTCTTTAGGGCCCACGAATGTGTGGTATGTCCGGAAAAGCACACGGTTGGCACTTATTACCAAATACTGCTAGAATGCGTCTGGGTCAATGCTTTTAACTGCATACATCGATGTCATTGTATGATCTTTGCAGTCTGCCTTTTTTCGTAATCAGTAATGTACAGTTAAAACCATATGATCTATGAAAATGTTGATAAAGTGGCCCAATGTGAAGGTGTATAGCTGGGTGGGTGGCTATATACCCATACTCAGAAGAATTTGATAGGTTTCTGATGAGTTTTTACCTCGTATTGAACATTAACGAAAACAATCACAAATATATAAATAACTAGAGTAAACTATACTTTAAACGGCCTAGTCATAAGATTGATAGCATTCGATGTTGATTACAATTTCTATGGAAAAGCGATGCGTCAAGTTGCAGCCAGGGCGGCAAGATCGGCACCTGCCACTATTACGCTACGAGAATACTTAATGATACTTACATATTACGGGATAGATCCGTATTGACTCACCACTATGATGAGAATTTAATTTGTATGATAAACGAAAGTGTCAGGATTTTTTTAATAGGATTTGGGAATTTATTGGTCAAAAATAAATCAATGTGTACGCTTATGCAAAACAAACACTTTTTGCCTCAGATGATGCAATTTATAACTTGGTGAGATAAGTGTCTAACAGTAATTCAAAAATAAATAAATAATATTTTGAATCATTAAAGTTTTAAAAAGATGATACTATTTTTAAGGGTTTCTCCGAATTCGAGATTTATCAACTAATTTATCTCATTATACGCATTTGCTAAGATTATTCATGTTATAAGATAACTGTATTAATATTTAGATAAACAAATGTTTGAGATTATGATGATGTAATAAGAGAAAAATATGCGTTTTCTTAAGTTGACGCAAATCTATAGTCAAAAATTGCTGTGATACCATTTAGTAACGCTTTGCTCATTATAATTGCATAAGGATTTTAAAACGTAGTGAATCATTTTCAGCCAATTTTCCAAAGTCTTAATTTTGTGGTTTATTTTTTTTTTTACGTAAGATTATGATTGTTGCAACTTCATAAAATCAAATGAAGATAAGACTGTTATAAAATAACAATTTAAAATAATAACTAATTTCAATTAACTTTTTAACCACTTCGTACTCCGCCTAAGTGTCCCTGTGACATTGAAGTAAGTAGCCTTGGGCAACATGGCCTCCATTGCCAAAAGAGTTCATCTGTCAATATTCCAGCCATTTTGGTGCCAACAAGCAGGGACGATGGCAAGCTGCCGCATGGGAAGTCTTTGGAGGATGGAACGGGCTTGGGTATGTGATGCTACTTATGTGAACACCGGGTACGTTAG